TGGCAAAGGCAGACCGACAATCCAAGGGGAATCTCCTGGGAATATCGAAGCGACGTATCCATTCCAAGTGGTCGCGATGGACCACATACCGTCACTGCCCGCGTCACACAAAGGAAACACGGAGCTGTTAATCTGGGTTGACCTGTTTACGGGTTTCGTCATCGCGAAGGCGAGTGCGTCGGGGACTGCGAGACGGTAGCTGAGTCGTACGAGGAGGCGGTCTTCAGGCGGTTCGGAGCTAGCGAAGCGTTCGCCACGACCGGGAGCCGGGCTTCATGTCCGATTTCTTCAAGGCCTTCAACAAACTCATGGGTCAACGACAGCGAGCGACTCTCGCGTATCGCCCACAAGCAAACGGGGCGGCGGAGCGCATGGTGCAGACGATCACGAGGGCCATCAAGATGTACATCGCGGACAACGACCAGCGCGACTGGGACGAGTACGCAGAACGGCTCACCTACGCCCTGAATACCGCCCACGATCGAACACGGGACGAAACACCTTTTTTCTTGGTGCATGGGTGGGACCCACGGAAGCGACGCTAGCGATTGGTAACACCCCACATCGAGACGTTGAAGCTAGGCGATGGAGAATGCGTATACAGCGCCACTACAAAACCGCACGTGCACAAGCGCTCGAGTTGCTCCGCGAAGCAGTAGACACGCGAGCTACACGGCAGAACGCGCGCGTGACGGAACACGCAATACAACGCGGATCCCAAGTCTGGCTGTATCTCGATCGGGTCAAGCCCGGATACGCGCGCAAGCTTGCGCACTTGTGGCACGGCCCGTTCCGCGTCGCCGAATTGGTGAGCGCGTACGCCGTGCGTCTGGAGACCAACGGAACCCCGTACCAACTGTTCCCAATCGTGCACGTCTCGAAGCTGAAGCCCGTCCGCGAATTCCCATCTCGACCCGAGTTGCGACTGACGGTGCCAGCGGAGGAACGGTTCGACTTCGACGAAGAGCTCCTCCCTGAGGACAGCTGGGAGACGCACGATGCAGACGACGATGTGTACGAAGTCGAGCAAATCCTGGATTTACGCGAAGGTAGCACAACGCGCTATGGACGAACGCGGCGCGAGTTCCGTGTGAAGTGG